AATGAAGGTTATAGCCAGGAGCTTGGTGGGGTTTTCTTTCCTGAGATGATGATTTATTCATTTTGGCTTCAATAGCTACAGTGTCAGGCATATTTTATATTTTTCCAACTTTGACACTTCAAACATTTGATTTCCCTTTGCAACTTCCAACCTTAAACATGTTTCCCATTATAGATTTTCAAGTGACTGCCTTGCACACACTGACTCATGAGGCTGGTTTTTATTTTCACAAAATATATAACCCTATTTGAATAAAATACAGATGGTGTCCAATACATTAAACACAGCAAATTTGCCATTCCCTCCTTCAGCCCCTTCATGTTCCATTCCCCGTATTTTCTGTGGCTATATGAAATCTTATCGGCCTGGGTCTGAACAGCTCAGAGAGGGCATGGCAACAGGAATCTGATGCCATTCATATTGGGTTACTACAATAAATATTGCACAGATTTTAAGATCATTGTTATTTTTCCAGCAGGATTATGCAGTCAGAGCTCTGCTTTAAGAGAGATGTGCATGCGCTTTGGAAGGCACTGACCGGCCAGTTCTGCATGGTCCATTGCTGGAGTTTGAAACAAGACCATATGACAGGAAAGGTTGACCCTGTGCACCAAAGAACTCTGCTCTCCAAGGCACCCTCAGTGGCTTCTTGTATAGAGAGTTTAGAAAGAATAAAGACATAATACACTAATAGGCTCTGCAAAGTTAACTTCTTGAAACTAGCTGGAAAAAAAACCTGTTCTATAAAAGTGCAATCAAAAAGCACTTTTTTTGCTATAAAAGCATGAAGATCCTTATGTGTACATAGGGTTGAATAAGATTCTGTCAGCATCACTAGATGGCATTGGAGTGTGGTTTGTTTCACCATAGAAGAAAAGCAAGTTTTTGCCAGTAGCTTATGGGGAATTTTTTTTTTTTTTAATTTTTTTTAATAGAAATCCTCTTAGTTAAGGGATTTATTCTAAGCAAGCTGCAAGCATGTTCTCTGCAGCTTAGAGTGAGGGAAATTTAAAAAGAAACAGGAATCAAGGCTGGTTGAGCAGCCAGTGCACTGCTATAATATCACCTTGTCTGCATGCAGAGTCTGTGAGCAGGGAGACGAATGCAGAAGGAAATAAATTGATTGCCAAAGGTACTGAAGAAACTAGGAATTAATATTACATGGATTGGTGATTGCCGTGAGGCAAGGTTTAATCCTCTTTTGAGGCTTAGCGTAGAATTTTTGGTATTCCCTTTTTTTTTTTTTTTCCAGACATACCGGAATTCCACCATCAGACAAATATTTATTATGTGCTTATTATATCCTTTTTACTCATCTAGTTTCCTTGCCCTCTTAAAATTACTTTTAGAATGTGTTTGCCATCCTAACATCAGCATTCACTTTAGAACTAATTTCAGTCAGCAACTGACTTGCAAGGTAATTTTTTATTGAAAACTAGAAATTCTTCATAGTACCTACTGAACTCAGCAGAGGATGATAAATAAAAAATACATTATACTTGCTTGAAATCAGTGGAAAGGTGTGGAACTCCTTAATCCTTTGCAACGATTATTTATTAAATCGTATATACCCATGCATGTGTTTACACAGGTGTAAACAGGTATACACTTATATATGGGAAAAAAAGAGTGTATTCTTCCTCATCATTCAACATTCTCATCAGTCTTCTTCCTTTTTTTTTTTTTTTTTTTTTTTTTTTGGTATTAGTATTAGTATGGATCACAGAATACTTGTACCTGGCTCTGCACCAAAGTTTGAACATTTCTGTATTCATGTATTTCTTTGTAAAGGCAACATAACACGATCGCTGGATGCTCACCATAACCTTCCATATGCTTTAAATTACATTTCCTCTAAATCATTTGCTTAATCTGAACTATCAACAAGAATGTCCAACTCTTTTGGACTCCCATGTGGCAGCACATGAAGAGCTGGAGGCCTTACAAACATTAATAACGTCAGCACGTCACACCTGCTGGTCAAAGTGGAATAACCGGAATAACGTTGGGATGATATTTGGTGTCTTCCCGCTGTCTGCCTGCAGCTCATCCCTGGGCCTTTCCTAGGGCGGGAGAGCAGACAGGCAGGATAGCCCCAAGGAGGGCTCCAGCTTTCCATACACACAGCTTCTCTGGGGACGTTTCGTGTCACTGGCTGCTAGCATTTTGCTACTGCATCCACCCCTTTGCTCGGCTGCTATTAGCACAGACTGATGCTAAAAGGTGGTAGAAGCTTTTTCATGCATACATGGAGAGGATGGGTTTGCAGAGGCAGCTGTAACGGACCCACCATGAGCAGGTCCTGCTCCCTGGCAGCGATGGTAGCAGCTACCATACCACCCGCATATCAATACTATTCCCATAAAGTGATGCCTCACTCCGAGGGGCCGTCCTCCCTGCACTCCACTCTCTGCCTTCCCCCAGACCATTCTCAACCATTCGCACAAACTCCATTGGATATTTGGTGTTCTCACAAACTCCATAGGAAATTTTATGGTGAAGGCTGAAATACTAAGCAAAATGCTTTAATAAAGCAGAGGGAAGAATACTAGGAATTGCAGTACTTACCTTTAGTATTAAACTCTAAACTCTAGTAGTACTAAACTGTGGTGGAAGATCATCTCTTTGTGATGCTTGACCAACATCTCACTGCACCTCAACCCCTCCCTTCACTGTCTGAACACATTTTACAGAAGCTCCTGAGCTGGCAACAAGGCCCCCTAATTTTCTGTCTTTCTTTTAAGTTCATAAATGCTCATGATTGTATCCTAAAGCTCAACATAGATGCTACTTCTCATAGATGAGATATGATGCAAGACCTTCAGTTCCCAGAGCTGATTGCCTGAGACCTCCGCCAGCCTTTGCCCATAGGGACAGTCTCTTCGCAGGGCCTTGCTGAAGAGCTGCTCCCTTCCAGATGGGGCTGATGATGTCTCCATTAGGACTCTTCCAGGGTCTTTCCAGGGGTGAGGGACAAGGCGGTTGCTGAACACACCTCTGCCTGAAGCGTGTTGCTGGTGGTGGGGATGGGGTTACCTCTTCGCCAAACCTGTGCTGAGGCCACGGGCAGCTCTGCAGGATGCTCTGACCTGCGGAGCTTTCAAGGTTTCCTCTCCATGATGTGCTCTGGAGTGAGCACGTGGCAAAGCACCTCTGGGAGCAGCAGCTCTCCTGGCTTCACTGAGTTGCTGCATCTCCAGATGAATCCAGCAATAGCTCTGCTCAGCACAACACGCACATAATTAAGTGCATACACACATACACACCCATGCACACACACAGACATCAATCATTTAAAGCCTTGGGGATGCCTCTGTTCATATTTGCGCCTTGTGGCTGGAGAAAATGTGAAAAGCAGTCAAAACGTCAGGCTTTGGAGGAGCAAAGAGTTGCCTTTTCCACAGAAAATGCGGTGCAGCTCAGGCTGCCCGGCCCAGAGCCCCAGCTCACCGGGAGCCTCCTCTTCTGCTGTGACTTCCTGAGGCCTCCATGCCACGAGCACCAACTGGGCAGCTTGCTGAATGAGAGCCCCAGCTGCCAGAGACACTTTCCCCGACAAATTCAGACTTTGAGCAGTGCTTATTGCAGCTATTGAAATAACAGAGTGCAGTACTGCGCCTCTCTTATTAAGACTTTAATCAGCATTTCCACAGGAAAGCCTCACTCTCACAGAGCTATAAAACTGCCTGCACAAGGTTGATTGCTGCTGAAACCTAGAATCCACTTTCTTGACTAACAACTATATTTCTTTCTTGCTTATTTGACTGGTTTGCAAAAACTGAGGTAAATGGGCTTGGCAAGTTTGTTTAAAGCCAGAAACAATTTCTGGTTTCAGAGACCTTTCTTTCAGGTACATTGAGAACAAGAGAATGAAACTATCTCAAGTTGCCTGCCTGTAATGTTAAAAAATTACTCCAGGTATCTTTTTTTCTTTACACTGTTGATAATTTTTATCTAGGAATGTGACTAAAGAATTTAAGCATTCACGTTTTTTAAACGTTGAGTGGTTTTGGAATGGTGGATAGCACTTGATGTGAGGGCAACACAGGGGAGGTTAAGATGTTCAAAATACAGACCAGGCTCTCAGTGCCAAGACGCTGCCATGATCCGTGCAGAACGCGTTGCCATGATTTACGTAGCCTCTTCAGAAGAGCCTTTAATGTTTGTTTATGACCACAGGGTGATTGATGGAGTCCTAAGCGTGCGGTGATACAATCAGCTGAGCTATTATGGCTGCTAGTCGGGTAATTGGTGCATTTTGGCCATTACAGGCCATCACGTCAGCAAATTGCTGTGAGTTTTGTTACAGTATCAGTGAGCTCAGGGAAACAGCAGTGAGACAAGAACTGGCTCCCTCGCCAGGAAGGAGACCCTCATCCACCACTTACTCCTATGCACAATTATTTTAGAGTCTCTTCTAGTCCTCTCGCCGCTTCCTAACGGGAAATTATTAAAATAATGCTAAATGACTAAAATGATGCTAAAAGACTCGTATTGACCTGACTCAAACTGTGGAGCAAGAAAAGTTGCTAAAACGTCATCTAATGGTCACTTTGTTGCTCCCAAAAGACAACAGTGAATAGAAGTTAAGTTCCTTCCTGAAAAAATACTTCCCACTTCGTTTACTTACAATACATTATGTCTTCAGAGGATCTAGGCATTTACTTACAACACAGAAAAAATACATATGAAAGAAACTGTGTTTATTTTTATTTATTTTTTTTACAAAAATAAACAATTTAAGAAACAAAAGCTTTTTTTTCCTGACTGTACAAACTACAAAACAGTATGACATTGGTCACTTTAGCATTTACTTTATTGCTTTCACTGAAAGCAAATTCTCTAGACACACCATGCCTATAAAATGCATTTTATATAGAATTAAGGCTAGCGTTCATTTGCCATTATTAAGGTCATTTACTTCATTCACTCTAAGAATTAGCAAGCAGTGCCTTAGAAAACCAAGGATTTGATGACAAAAAATATGAATAATTGAAAGATATTGATTAAAATAGTACTGTTCCACCAGAGGGATTGCTTTGCCAGTCTGACAGAGACGTGGCTTACTGAACAATTTCAACTTGATTCAACAAAAGTCTTAAGCACAGGCTTAATTGTAAGCATATGCTTAGGCCTAACCCTATTCAGCAAAGCACTCAGCACTTGGGTAAGTCCCTACCCTTTCAGTGGGACTATTCATATGCTTATGTCATTTGCTAGACCTACAACATGGCTCCTTTAAATTAAAAATGAAATTTTATGATAACATTTGAAGCAACAACAAAAAAAAGTAGCTACAGTCTTGCAATTCTAAACATATCTGAGGAAGTTCTCCTTCATTGTGACAATACGTTGGTCTTGCATATTTGAGAGCTTTAGCACAAGTGCTGATTGTCTTCAGTAACATTTGATATTTAGTTTACAAACTGATGTGCTTCAGTTTGCTGTGATTGTACTTGCCCAAATAAATACCAATGCAGAGGATGCAGACTTCCCAGACACGATCAACCTTCATCTCTGTGCAAATACACACAGGTTAGGAAAAGTTATGCTAACCTTGGCTAGAAAAATTAGAGCTGCCAGCTGATTTATAACCAAAATTACACCCTAACAGTGTATCATATTTTGTATTTTGCTTTGTTGTAAAAATCACATTTTCAAAATGTTGTTTTATTGCACATTCATCCTGGTCATGCAGGTTATTTCTTTAAAGTTTTGTTTAGCACTCTATAGATTAGAATGAGTAATAGTGCAATTATCTCCCCGGCCACAGCCGTCCTACACCTAACAGCTGCCTATATTTATACACAAACAGCTCTTGTCACTCACGAGTCAAACTGAGCCACTTTAGCTGTCAGCCTGTCACTTTCACATATGTTATCTTGTCAGGATCAGGCACGATAGGATTTGAGGCCATCTTGAAGAAGACGAGCTGCCGACCTGAACAGGGCGGGAAAGGGAATGAAAAGGGGGGGAAAAAAGTCATTAGAAGTGATGAGCCAATTGCCTGTTTTGAAACACTGACATTTCATCTTCTTTAGGGAACCTGAGACTAAACTCTTCAACTGGTTTAAAACTGAAATGTTTTCATTTAAAATTGCACTGTGTCCCTTAGTTTCAGTATGTTTACTAGTAGATAATTACGATCATATAGCATATTGACATCCCAATATAACTGAGGGAAAGGTCTGAAGATTTTACAAATTGCACATCATCCTTGGAAATGTGTTCAAGGACTCTCCCATCAATATAAACATGTTTGGGTTCAGGCCTTAAAGGAAGGGCATTCATTTGACTGTAGAGGGACAGTATCATCTTTGCTTGGATCTGTGTAAATGTGAGCTGCACCACGTGTGTTAAATTTTACTTACCCTGAACTCCCTCTTGCCCAACACTTGCAAACCAGATGCCCGGACTACTGACCAAATTTCCACCTCAAACTTCCACGTTTTGGGGGACTCAAGAGCTCATACATCAGAATGACATGGCAAAGCTGATAATAAATAAGATTTACAGTACTGCTACTCGGACTCATTTGCTTTTAATATTGCAACAGGAAACAGGACCTGCTCTAAACTTCCTATGAATTTCCATTTGCCCTAAGACTTTTTTTTTTAGTATCTTATTTAACTTTAGTGGTCCAACTACAGATAGTGTGACATGACAAGCTAATAGTCCCTGGCAAGGTTAATATAAAATATCTTTTTCTGGGGCAAAGTCCCTGTTCCCTTCTCTGAGAAGCATAACAATTTCAGAAAGCTACAGCAGCACAGTCCAAAACACTCTGATATGTGGGAAATTTCTGAAGTTTCTATTCAACTGTAATGCTTTCAGAGACAGGGGCCCACACTGAGCTTATAGAAGTTTGTCTTGATGTACATTTATGTTGTTCACCTAAGCACAATGAAAATACCCAACTGCACACAGGATCCAATTTGATGTTAAGAATTAAGACATGCCAAGATCTCAGTTTTACTGAAAGAGAGATGAGTCTTGGAGCCTAAGTTACATGCCACCCAAGAAGTCTATGGCAGGGGAAGGACTTAAATCAGCCACTGTTCCTTTCCTAGACGAGAGCAGGGGAGCCAGCCAGGCCGTAGCCTTGGCGGTTTGGGGTGGGAGAGCAGCTATGGGTGACAATGACACACAGCACTCCTTGCATGTTACCAAACACCATGTGCATTTGAATGTCCACCAACAGTCATCTCAGATTCTCAGTAGACATTTGCAACATATTAATTTCTCAGATTACTGTGAAAATTCCTCGAAATAAGCTTACACTCGGTTCAGAAACAGGGAGACACATTCTACACTAATGTGAATCGGCACTGACTGAGTGACTTCAGTGGGACCACACCGCAACTACGAGGCTCACAGAACTCTTGGGAAATGTATTTATCCCTCCAAGCCAGCCATACTCTGTTACACAAGACAAGAAGTTGAGCTGTGGTGGCAAGCAGGGCTTTCCCCTCCAAAGTTCTTCATAGCCATGATACAGAGCGCTGGGCACTTCCATTTCTCTCTGGTTTTGAACAGTGCCTCCTTTCTGTCCTCGAGCCAAACCCAGGCCGAGGGAAGCACACCATTCCCATCAGAAGCCAGGCATCGCCTACATCACTCGGAAAGTCCCAGCTGGTTGGATGCGTGGGAGAACCTGTTTGATTTTGTGTCAAACCGCAACAACCATGCGGACTGGAAAGATTTATTTAAATCCAGATGCTGGGCCACATCCTGCACATTTAACTGCAGAAACAAGTCACGGACTTTTGTTGTTTCTGCTGCTGCATTTTAAAATAAAGCTTGGGATCCCCAAGCTGGGGAATCCTATGGCCCACATGCAGCAGCCCTTGATTCCAGCTCCTTGGAGGCCAGCCACAGATTCCTATTCCCCAACAAGGCAAAGAAAAGCCCATCGAGAGCCAAGCTCTACTGAAGCTGAAACTTCAGAAATGATCCTATTTCTGGCTGCTGATGGTGGCTCCCATAGACAAGCACAGTATGTTCCTCAAACTGTGTTAAAACACTGCTTCACTGAAAGCAGCCAGAATGAGATTCAGCTGCTGTTTCTCTTGAGCAGCATCCATGACCTACCTGTCCAAGTCGTCTGGTTGGTTAAGACAAAAGCTTTGCACTGCGAGTAGCTGTCGCAGATCTCCATGGCTTCGTTGACGTCAAACACGGAGAGGAGGCAGCCCTTGTGATGGTACGACGGCCAGCATCTGTAGTTCTCATCGGGAATAAAAGCTTCAGGCACTCGCTTGTACTCTGCAATTAACCGGAGCAAAGCAATCACTTCAAGAGCTCTAGCCTAACCGAGGCGTTTTTTACTCCATAAAGTTTATTATAAAAACTTAGCAGAGGGAGATGTGATGGAAAAGGTGAACAGCTAGATTGAAGCAGCACCATTTTAGTTCCAAATGTGCTTAGAGCTCTGCACCTTATTTTGCTTTTCCTTTTTTCCTTTCACCTTTTTTTCCCTCCTAGAAAGTGTCTGTAAATAAACAGCCTGTGCACAAAACGCTTTTTCCCTTTCCCCACTGCGCAGACGAGGCTTTGATTTTATTAGGAGTTTTACAGGAAGAATGTCCTTTTGAATAAACAGCATCCACTTGAATGAACTGACTCACTGTCCTACTTCTCAACAGGGAGCGGGATTGTCAGGGTGAGACCCAGCCAGGCGTTCCCAGCCCTCCCTCCCCGTTAGAAGAGCCTGCTATTTTCCTCCAGCCCCTTTAGAGCAGGAAGAAAAGCCAGGCTTTTAATTAAGCAAACTTTTTTTTTGCTTGCTCAGACCAGCACAAAAGAGGACTTGCTTGATGGGCCTCCGAGAGAAGAAAAACCCAGCGCACGAGGCATGTCCGCTCGGTGCCCGCCCAGCGCCGCGGCGCTGCCGCCACTGCCTCGGCCTCCTTGGCTGCCGTTCAGTCTCCCTTGCCTTTATGAGCTGCCTCTTGTTCCCTGCACGCGGCTCCTCTCGGCTTCCCCGCTGCTTAGGGGGGCTCTCTAATGAATGCACCGGCAAACTTCACTAATCGTTTATAAATATTGCCGTTTAGCTTCCAGGCACACAAATGGATGGTTCTGCCTCCCCACCCGCCCCTGCACCCTGTTCAAAAGGGGAAATACATTCTGGGTTTCTTCTAATTGTATCTATTATGGAAATCGGAGCTGCCTACCCTGACTCACAGCCTATTCTCCAGGCATTTTGGTTCACGCGTTTTCTGCCTGACGTTGCAGATTCAGCCCGCTAGCATTTCAGGCAGCGCATTATATGAACACCCCAAGTCAGAGGCCAACGTGTCTACCAGACTCTGAATCTGTAATTGTATTACAGTTAACAAAAGGTATTATACATCAGCAAGTGCTCATTCACCCCACCCATTCTGAAACAGTGGAAAAGAAATGCAGAAAATGCACTATTTTCTAAGCACTGCTCATCAGAAGTATCATAAGAAACATTCACCAACTGGAAGCTAAAGCGGAGCTGATCATGTGCCACCTAGTCAAAGGTAAAAAGCTTGACTCAGAAAAGGGAGACTCACACTCACAAGGAAGAAAAAGAAACACAGAACCAGTAGTTTCACTTATAAATGTCCATTCTGCTGCAAAAATATGCATACATTTCTTTGGAAGAAAAGTAGTTGCATAAATCAGAACTGCTACTGACTGGATAGGTAATAGCCCTTCTTTTCCTGATTTCTGTATAAATTGGATGAGGCCAATAATTCTGGAGTGAAGTTCAATGATACTCTCTCTCTCTCTCTCTCTCTCTCTCTGACAACTGCTGAATATTGTACCCTACAGCCAAGGTCAGTAAAATGGTGGGTGCAAATGAGATGCCAAGATGCCAACTCACCACTGCCTGCGCCACATATAACCACTTATACCAGTGAGTGTGACAGGCTGGCGGGATATATAACGTGACCAGAGAGGTGCCGCGTGGCACTGAACGGCCCCAAACCCCATAGCACGGCCACAAAGCAGTGCCGTTGGCCGCAGCAGCAGAACACGAGCTGGTCTCACGAGCTCGCGACGCTCGGAGGGACCCGTCCCAGCTCACGAGCTCGCCCGGTGCCACGGCCAGCCCTTGGCATGCACTCAGCAACGCCACTGCCACGCTGTGTATTTCTCTCCATGTAAGGCAGGAGCCTGGCTCACTGCTCACTTTTGAAACTCCCCTAGTCACAGCTGTGCCTCCTAGTAGGCCTGTAGTACTTTCTTCCCTCTCTTCCTATTACAACCACTTTGAGCTAGGCTCTTGGCTGACTTCAACAGGTTTCGAAAGCACAACGGTGATTTACACGAGCTGAGGTCCTGGCCGAGGTGGGGGATAAAGCTCTCCCCTTCTACTGACTTTTCCAAGATGGCTGAGGCTGGTAAATCACTTGGGCAGCCTGGAAATATTAATCAACAGGGATGGGCCAGCAACAGCTGCAATTGTGAAAGTGAGGTCCTATAAACATCCAAGATGATGTTTAGCACATCCTCACCCCGTGGAGGAACACAACCGCAGCCCTTCCTCTCCTCCAGCTCCCTCCTAGACACGGCACGGCGGCAGCGCTGGGCAAGACCTAAAGCAGGAGAGGCACCGTGATCTGCAGTGTTCACCAGGCGCAGCATTCCTGTAAATCACGGAGTGCAACCAAGTTCTTTGGGCCTCCTGCCACTCCTGCCTGCTGGAAATTTAGGAGAGGGGGAAGGCAGCAAAGGAAGCACCAGGACCCTCACAAGTTTCTCTTTCCACCATGTGTTTCTTTCCCCATGAAGAAGGAGCTCCACTGGCATCTCATGCACAAGCCCCTGTTGCAGCAACACCCAAGGCGACTAGCATGGTAGTTCTCTAAACCTGCAGTAGCATTTGGAGTCCCGACAGCCCGATCCCGCAGTCACCTGAGACTCGACACAAGACACCGTCCACCTCCGCTTCCACCAAAGTCAGCAGCAGCGGGCGCCCGACCAGACCTCTGCACAAAGGAGGAAATACCAGAGAGCTTTGCTATCAAAGCAAGGACCATATGGCTGAAGAGGCAGAACTAGCCACATCAGACACTTCTGAACTTCCTTTTCTGCACACAGCTTTTCTTCCTACCACTGGTGTAAGAAGCCTTACAATTTTTTTCCCCTTTAATCGTTCTTTCATGTTCTTTCACACACAGACACGCAGAGCTGAGCGGCTCAGCCAGGCCCTGACATGGTGGCGCAGGCAGAGGCAGGAGGCGGCTCCTCCGTCGCCGGTGGCCGCGGCACCACATGCAGGGTCTGTGTGTCCCTATGTCCCTATGTACCCCGCAGGGTACCCCTCTCACAGAGGGCCGAGAGGGGCAGGGGGTGGCCCAGTCACAGCCCCGCGTCCCTCTCACGCTCCCTGATCCTGCCTCCCCACAAGGCCAACTGGGGACAACCTCTTAAACCATCACTGTCACAAAGACACACAGGAACCCATGTGTCCATATGTGTTTTTACATCCTTATGGATGCTTCATAGGAACCAGCAACTCACTGCAACACCGAATGAGTGCTGGTCTGAGGAACTGCTGCTTTCTGCAGGTTCAGCTTTATTGAGAGTATGGCAACGCAGCTGCCTCCCTAAGTTGCAAAGTGAAGGTAAATATCTTTGGAATCTCTTGTTTACACTACAACAAATTAGGCAGCTGGCCCCTTAGTCCTTATTCGCACATGTTATGAAGAAAGGGACTCTTCCCACATCAGGTAGGAGAAGGAAGGGCACTCCTGAAGGATGCCCCTTGATTAGCGTGTCCCAGCAGTGGCAGCACCTCCTGTTTTCTCTTGTGCTCTATCCACAGCAGCCAGCAGTAAATTAAAGCTCACCCCTGTGTCTGTATGGCTAAGACGGCTCTCAGTCGAGGGCTCCTCAGATACACGCCCAAACTACACAGGAGGCAAATGCCTAACCTGCACGAGATATCTAACACAAGGTGAATCCAAAGGTGGATATTCTCTGCACTAATATTAAGTGCTCTTGGCCTACTACGCAAACTTTGCTCAGTAATCCTTTGCCGACAAGCACAGCTACAGCCCTTTGCTTCATGCTTCTGCAATCACAGAATCACAGAACAATCCTGGAGAGTGTTCAAGGTGAATGCTGAATTAGGCATCTGGAAAAAAATACTCCAGCAAAAACTTATCTTAGGTCACAGACGCAGGGAAGTTGAACAGGCCTTAATGTCAACCCCATCAAACATGAGCTAGAGCACTGGGCTTTCCTTTTTCCTTGAAATGACTGCCCTGGTCAGTCCAGTGCAGCTACTTGGCCAGTTCAGCAACACTGCACTGGCTTCAAGGCAGCTCCAGCTCAGGCTTTTGTCCTGCCAAGACCTGAAACTTGCTTAAATGGAGCCCGTGGAATTTGAAGGCTCACGGCAGTAAATCACATCATAAAAAGGTCAAAGTTCTGGTCGATTTCCAGACTAATGGTGTTTAAAACCAATAAATACTTGCCTAATACTATAAATGCAGCCATAAATTTACACTTTTGCATACATATACGTAGTTTGACACAGAGTATATGAAGTCCATCACAGCAATAGCAAGGAATAGATGAGAGAAATGCAAGATGTTCTTACCACTATCACCACGAGAAAAGAATCCTGTTTTTCCCCATCTGATTTTCTGAGTATTGAAGCAAATAAAAAGTAATGCAGTAAAAGTGGTCTTGATGGCACTTATGACAGACTTGCTCCAACTTATAAGTGGGAGCCGATTCATTGCTCATAGTTATAAAAATAAATCTCAGGAGGAAACATTTTTCCTGCTGCATTTTTCCTGTTTATGTTTCCATAAACATTTTGAAATTTCAAACTATCTTCCTTTGCAGAATCGAGGCAAATCTCTGACTTTTTGTTTCCAGATTTAATAGTTTTTAAATGCTTTTTAAAGCTTGTGATAGTTGATGAAAACAGACTGTTTCAATCTGCCCAAAGCCTCCATTTCCAAGTCAACCTCTTTATTTAAAAAAAAGTAATTATAAGCTAATGGGGACCATGGAACAATAAAAATAACCCAACAATGGAATCATAAAACAATCTTTGTATTTTGTATTTTCTCAGCTCAATAAAGAAAATCATTGAGAAATTGTCCATCCTGTAAAAAAAAAAGTTTCATTTTCATCAAGTTGAAAAATTCTGTTCAAAAAGTATTGTGTTGAAAACTTATGAGTCAGCTCTCAACACGAATCAAGAAACTTCAACTAAGTTGTACACAGAGTTGGTGTAAGAGCAGAATTAAGTCTCTGCTTTGAGTCAGTCC